CGTGTCAAGAGGTTCTGGGTCTAAAGAAATACGATAATAAGGAATGGATCTCTACAGAAACATTGGACAAGATCAAAGAAAGGAAGAACAAGAAGGCAGCAATTAACAACAGCCGAACACGAGCAGAGAAAGTCCAAGCACAAGCTGAATACACGGAAGCAAACAAGCAAGTGAAGAGGAGCATTAGAGCCGACAAGAAGAAATACGTGGAAGAACTAGCAACGACGGCAGAAAAAGCTGCTAGGGTAGGAAATATGAAACAGCTTCACGATACAACGAAGAAACTAGCAGGGAAATACAGTAAACCAGAGAGACCGGTCAAAGACAAAGAAGGCAAGCCAATCACCGAAATTCAACAACAGCGGAACAGATGGATAGAATACTTCGAGGAACTCCTGAATAGGCCGGCTCCAATGAATCCACCGGACATCGAAGCGGCACACACAGATCTTCCCATAGACGTCAACCCACCAACGAAAGAAGAAATCAGAATGGCCGTCAGACAAATCAAGAACGGGAAAGCAGCAGGTCCCGACAACATACCAGCTGAAGTACTGAAGTCAGACATCAAAGTAACTACAAACATGCTTCACCCTCTATTCACAAAGATTTTGGAGGAGGAACAAGTGCCGATGAACTGGAAAGAAGGGCAACTCGTCAAGATTCCAAAGAAAGGAGATCTGAGCAAATGTGAAAACTATAGAGGCATTACACTGCTGTCAATACCAGGGAATGTCTTCAACAGAGTGTTGCTGAACCGGATGAAAGATGCAGTAGACGTCCAACTTCGAGATCAACAAGCTGGATACACATGAACAGATGCAGACAAAGACAGCCAGTGTAGCAGCAGTCTCTGCATCAGTAGGCCTCAGCATACACAAAGGGAAAACCAAAGTCCTCAAATTCAAGGCGGAGAACAACAATCCAATCACTCTTGATGACGAAACTCTGGAAGAGGTAGAATCCTTCACATATCTAGGAAGCATCATCGATGAACAAGGAGGCTCAGATGCAGACGTAAAGGCAAGGATTGGCAAAGCAAGGACAGCATTTCTACAATTAAAGAACATATGGAACTCAAAACAACTTTCAACCAATATGAAAGTGAGAATATTCAATACCAACGTCAAGGCGGTTCTACTGTATAGAGCTGAAACTTGGAGAACTACAACAACCACCATCAAGGAGGTACAAGTATTTATAAATAGCTGTCTTCGCAAGATACTCAACATCCATTGGCCGAATACCATCAGTAACAGTCCGCTGTGGGAGAGAACAAACCAACTTCCAGCTGAAGAAGAAATTAGGAAAAGACGATGGAAATGGATAGGACATACATTACGAAAATCATCAAACTGCATCACGAGACAAGCCCTAACTTGGAATCCTGAAGGGAAACGGAAAAGAGGAAGGCCTAAGAACACATTACGTCGGATATTAGAAGCAGATATGAAAAGGATGAATAGGAACTGGAAGGAGCTGGAAAGGACTGCCCAGGACAGGGTTGGATTGAGAATGCTGGTGAGCGGCCTATGCTCCTTCACGAGGAGTAACAGGCGTAAGTAAGTAATAAACATCCTGAACGCAAGCATCTGACTCTGACGAACTGCGTTAACGTCCATATGCACAGACATACCTCACGAAAAAGTACTTTAGAGTTGGATCATCACTGTTCTTTTTACATACTGACATAACGTACTTAGCATGCATATACTAAAAAAAGTAATTATTAACCAAGAATTAATGTTGAAAAGGATTCTTGTCTATCGTTAACTCCAACCCTATCTTAGAACACGCTTTCGAGGGGTGTCCGCTTGCCGTAATTAATGCAGAGGAGCATAGTTTCCGCTGAGTCTTGTGGTTGAGTTTCTGCAAGAGGTCTTACTTGGTAAGGGATACTGAAGCTCTCGTATCTAATAGTATATCAATCTCAGTATTTTGCACTCTATCTTTAATAGTAACGGGGCATACATGATTGTAATGCGTTTCTAACCATCTGAATACAGAATGTTAATTAAGAACTTATCTGCGTAGTAGATTATTAGAACGCGTTGAATACTTCAATTAGCTTGATAGTGTTATTAGCCGTTGTGAGATAATGTATAACGCAATCTCAGTGTGATTCTATAAATTTCGCATCATAAATTTTGTTCTAGTTTGTTCTTTCTCAAACCGTGCCTAACTCTTCTACTATCGGTAATTCCAATATGAATTTGACGCTGTTACTTTTATTTTCTTGAATTCCATATGTCTGACCAATGCAGCAATTTTTACGAATATAGATTTATTCTAGACACTACGTTGACTTTAATAGTGTTTTTTCGCTTTAGATTGTGCTTAGATACCCGAAAAGCTGTGGAAATAGCAGTGATGTTTACTAGTAACATAGACCTAAAGGGTAGGAAAATTAACTGGATTTCAGCGGCGTTTATAGAACTGGTAGATGCTCCGAAATTCACCCCGCTTGGCTCTGAACTTGATGAGGAGCGAAGGCAACTTGAATGTAATTTGATAAAAAGTCTACGTAATAATCGTTGTAATTGGTTGGTGACAAAAGCAGAATAGATGGAAAACGCATCATTGATAGGTAACAGTAGATAACTTTTTTCAGTCTTATCAAGGAAACGAGTATTGAAAATCCGGTTGCTAATGAAACTACTTAGGAAAAAGACGGAACTGTTATTCATGGTCAGTGTAGGAGACTAAACTGATGGGCAGAGTACTTTAAGGAACAGTCTGACTGACCTTCAACCACACTTCAGTTACTCACTATCTTCAAGCAACCTGAATGGCCTCTGCCAGGGAAGTCCTACTCACTGCCTTCTCAAGGCGTGGGTGTTGTTTACGAAAATGAGAGGACGAAAAGCGAATATCTGGCGCTTTAACCGGATCCAAACCAATGGTGTACATGAGCTCCAGTATCCTGAGGGGAAAAATGGCGTACGAACCAATCGTTGGTCACCGGCTATCATGGGACTGCATCTCCTCACGATGCTCCACTGCCTTGTGGGTCAGACCTTTAGGCCAAAGGCTCGGGGTATGGCCTTCTAAGAAAACCATTTGTTTCGGTCTGGGCACCCGGGCAGTATCACAGCCCACACACATAAATATGGTGTGGTGCATATATATTTGGTGCCCTCTTGTACCAATATTTATGTGTTCAAATAAATAAATAAATAAACCTGAATGGCAAACTAATCTAAGTCTTCTAACTCCTAATAAGGTTGGAAAAGCTACAAGTAATCTTAAGCGAGGGAGAGTAGCAAAGCCTGACGGACCAACTCTTGAGACTTTTAAGGACGGGTTTTGTGGAGAGTTTAAGAAATTTCACAGGTTGAAATCATGAGTCAGTTGAAGCTAGACCAGGTTTTCAATGGTGGTCGAGCTTCAACTGACTCATGATTTCAACCTATGAAATTTGTATAAACTCTCCACAAAACCCATTCTGATAATAATCAACTGCTCACTAGTGACTGACTTGAAGAAAAACTCCTGGAGTTCTAGTGAGAAGCCGTTACCAGTGGAGTTCAACCGGTCTGTTGTGAGATAACAACTCACTGAAAACAATGGTGTACGGTGGCTCAACTTCGTGGATTGGTTGAAGTTAGACATTAACACCGTTGGATTCCGGCCCAGTGGTCTAGTGGTTAAGTGCTCGCGCACAAAGCCACTGGGTCCGAGCCCCGCGTGGCGCGGTATCGTGGATGCGCACTGCTGAGGAGTCCCGTGCCAGGACGAAACGGCCGTCCAGTGCTTTCAGGCTTTCAATGGTGGTCTAGCTTCAACTGACTCATGATTTCAACCTGTGAAATTTTTAAGGACGATTGTCCAGTTTTATATTATGAATGAGATGGTGTTGAGTGCTATTAGAAGTATAAGGGCAGTTGTCACACAGTTTAAACAGTTAAATTAACTGGAATTGTAGCTAAAATCTAGTAACTGGATGTAATCCTATCTGCCTGACCTCGATTGCTGATCGTCCCAGTTTATAAGAAAGGAAAAATTCTGTTGTGACAATCACAGGAATCACTTTAACTAATATAGCGTCTAAAATATTAGCCTTAGTAATACTTCGACGTTTAACTAGAGTTCGCAAAGAGCGAACCCGAGAAAATCAGGCTGATTCTAGACGTAAACATTGGATATGTGGACTAAATATTTTCCTTTCGACAGATTGTAGAACTGACATCTGACTACAGTCGTAGGTGTTGATAAAATTCAGTCTTGGTAGCACTGAACAACGATGCCAGGATGTTTGTAATGCGTTTCTTTCCCTCTAAGTGCAAGTTATTGCTTGAGGACTGGCCTGCGTCATCGACTTCACTTATCTTGGAAATCTGATAAACACAAATGGGTTGGTGTCTGACGAAATTTCATCACGGATCCGATAAACTCGTTTGGCATTTGCCAACTTACGTTACCACACGACGAAGGAGAGATGTACATATATCAATTAAACGACGGGTATATTGAGCAACGGTTCGTGGCCACTAAAGGAGGAGGATACTCGTAAGTTACCAGTATTTGATCTCAGATGTCTTGGAAATATTACTCGCATCTGTTCGGATCACCGGGTAAGTAGAAGTGAGGTTAGATACGGAGTATTAGGGGATGATGGTAAACCAGTTGATGAGTTTGTTAATCTTCATCGACTGAGATGGTTGGGTCACGTGTTACGTACGCCTGAACACTGATTACCACGACGCTCAACGCTGACTAGTGTTGGGGATGGTTAGAAGAAAGTTAGAGGCGGTCAAACCAAAAGTGACATCAGTGCTTGAAGTCACTAAATTCTGGTCTCAGCCATGTTGGTAGGTGCAGACTACTTGGTTAGGGTACGCGCGACTATCGTAGCCAATGGTTGTAGGCAACTTGGACCGATGTATGTACGTACTTGTTCCTATGTTTTAGCTAACTGACTGATGGGATTAAGTCATAAAATGACTATCAAGCAATAAAAAATAATATAGAATGACTTGTTTCCTAAAAAATATTGTTTCTCGAAATTGAGTTAAGTAATTTATTAGTTTTAGTGAGATTTATAGTATTGACAATATTTGAAAAATGCAATCAGTTTTTAGTGTTTAAAAGTATCAAGGTGATCGACAGTCCCCAGCCGTGATTGTCCTGACCATTAGGCACCGGTTCTTGAACCAACTATTTCCGCATACTTCATACAGCTTTGAACCACATTCAACCATCTCGAATCCTGTATTGACGAAATGTTTCTGTGAATTAAGAGAACATGGTTATGAGACGACATTTGAAAATTATAAACAAATTTATAAACAGCGTAGGAATACTATGGTTATAGTGATGATTTTATAGATCCGAATTGCTTCTAGGAAGCTGAGTGTTCATAACTAATTGGTAACTTCACTCACATTACATTGTACAGCTGACTGGCTTAATTAGACTTGGATTTTGCAGATATATATCGAGAAGACGAAATAAAATATGTTATTTTTCATTTGTTCAGGGTCTACTAGTCGACTAAAAAGGTGCTAATGAGGTCTATCTGTGTAAAAATTCCTGCTAATCGCATTCGCTGGTCTACTATGTAGCACTTCGATTAAATATTTCCCAATTAAATTGTAGTTTCAGAAATAGGGCATTTCTTCCTAGGTATCAATTCACTCAAATTTTTATTCCCTGTGTAGATGTGCTGCTTCGAAATGCTTCATGGGTAGCTTGTTCCATATATTTATTCACCTAAAACAATTCGGATAAAGTTTATGTCAAATGACTTTCACACATTAAGCAATTCATAAATGTCTGATGGTCTAATCTATGTGTGGTAACTCGGATTACTCTGTAGAAGCTCAGACTAGACTGCATAGTTAAGTCAGTCAGTCTGCATAGTTAAAAAGGATTAATTAATATCAATCTTAAATGTAGTTTTGGTTTAACATCTTCCATACACTCGACACTCAAAGATTGTGGAACTTTTCGTTAAAATTTGGACAAATGGTCTCACGAATCACTCTTCATTTGTATGCCTTTCGCCAACATTATCTAATTATTATTTTAGTTGTCATTCATACAATAAAGGGTTTATGCTTACAGAATAAATCCACGATTTAACCTGCCTAGATTCAGTTTGTTCATAATTATTTGATTTTTTATTTATTATCAATCTCATCAGGTTCAAAAATACTCATACATGCTAAATACAATAGATATTAGTTAACATACCAGAGATAACTGGTTAGCGAAGATTGCAACATTGTGTAAACCAGCTGCTTTGTATTCAGTGCATAAGTAAAGTTGAGTACTCTCCTCTACAAACTGTCTCATCATTAGATTTTTAATCAATTCAGAAAGTGATTTATCTGGACCATTATGTAATCGAATATATCGTAAGCGTTCGTTATTTCCTGATTCCAATAAGAGACTAGCACAAATATCTCTTTGATAAGTGGATGCTCTAAGAATCTGGAATGTTTGTTTTAGAAATAAAAAAACAAATAAACAATTAGATTACATTGGATTGTTGTTCTCAGACTCACATACACTCCTATTACTACTTTGGATTGAACACATTAGTGTAGTTTTATCAAAAAGTGATAATTATTATCGTTAATAAAAGAAGCTATGCAATTATAAAATCGAGGTTTTCTAGTCTCGATTCAGCTAACTTCTTACTTTGCAGATTTCGCTACCAAGATGAGTTATTATTTGATGAATGAACGTTAGTTTTAAGACTTCAAATGAATGATTAGTGTTTAGTGCTGAAATGCAACGATATGATGTTGTAGTGTCGGTTATTATGTTAAGCCTATATACCTTATTCTAGCATTCGGACAGCCCATTCTATTCATTCTATTTGAGTCACATTCTGACCTTGTTATTTATTTGCTTACCAATCTTGACTGTTTTTATATGAGCCCGTAGGTGTGTGTACATTTCTTATCCTATTACTCATCACATGTCTGTAACTTACTTTAGTGTAACAATAAATATTGACTAACGCTTGGTTAAATGGAAGTTGGCTTACTAGCCATCTCCACTCTGCGTCGTTTCACGTCTCCCTATTACATTCGCTTTATATACAAAATTATATGTAGTCTCAAGTGCATTCTCGTTATTCGACTTATTTAATTCCATTATGGACTAACGCTATTTAAGTCGACGATTATATGTGAGGATAGGTGATAACATGCATTCATACGATCTAATTAGAGTCGAATCCACGGGCCACTAAAATATAACTTAGGATTGACTGCTGACCGGATCATTGATGCGAACACTCAAATGGCTCGATATCAAAGACAACAATACCAACTAACGGAATAGGTTTTTTATCTGATAAAAAATATGAAAATTAAGATGGAAGAATATATTTGAGAAATGTAAGTGATTGAATCGCAAATAAATCCTACGTTCTGTTCAACGATCTGATCCAAACCTTTTCAACGAAATATAATCAAACATCAAAATGATCGAATATAAATAGATAAATGGTTCTCTGGTTAACAACTGTATACCAAATAGATTATCTAATCATGTTAACAATGTTGAAAGTAAGTATTTGATCTAGTGCATACGAGACATTTGATGTACAACGAAAAGTGTAAAAAGATAACGGATTGTGTATAGTTGTAAGTGGATCTGAGATGTGAGAAGGAATTTCATTGACTATTTACCGTCTCTGATATGTGGATTTTTGAAAAGAGCATACAATTTTTATGTATGATATGAGTCAAACATACCACAATATGCATAAAATGAATAACTAATAAAGACCAAAACGATAAGGTAAAAGATGGACCGAAAGAATGGGTTAACACGGTAGTGATCCCATATCATAAAGAAAAATCTTCAAAAGAAGAAATAACAAAGTTATGTTTATGAAATCAAATGTAGTGATTGTATTGCTATATATGTAGCTGAAACATCATGACAACTGGATGTGAATGAACACGAAATTTGCTTAAATCGCATTCTTAAATCCTCAAATGATGTAAAAAAAAGCTCAGGAATAAACCAGCGATTGGATTACACTCAATAGAGTTGGGTCATGCAATTGATTACAGTGGGCCAAGAATCCTACAAAAAAAGCCAAAGCCAAACACATGGGCGAATCCAAATAATAATAAAAGGAGAGATGGAATACAGTTAGCTGTCCCATAATAACTAATATTTAATAAATAAACCTGATCTCTTTGTTCCATTTAGTCTATCACTTAATATCTGAACAACAACAATTACATCCAACTGTTCTAATCAGTTGGTTTATCTGAATAAATGATAAATAACTTGAACAGTGATATAACGCAAACATCCACTTATTTATTTTTCTTCATTTTATGCATACTGTGGTATGTTTGACTCATATCATACATAAAAATTGTATGCTCTTTTCAAAAATTCACATATCAGAGATGGTAAATAGTCAATGAAATTCCTTCTCACATCTCAGATCCACTTACAACTATACACAATCCGTTATCTTTTCACACTTTTCGTTGTATATCAAATGTCTCGTATGCACTACATCAAATACTTACTTTCAACATTGTTAACATGATTAGATAATCTATTTGGTATACAGTTGTTAACCGGAGAACCATTTACCTATTTATACTCGATCATTTTGATGTTTGATTATATTTTGTTGAAAAGGTTTGGACCAGATTGTTGAACAGTGTTGGGGACGATAGATCCCCAACAAACAGAACGTAGGATTTATTTGAAATTCAATCGCTGAAATTTCTTCGTAAATATATTCTACCTCCCTAATGTCTTACATTAACTTAGTGCCAAAATACTATGAAACTATTCGTTCATATTTAGATGAAAGGTCTTATAAAATATAGAAATTATTAACAAAAAGTAATAAACATGTATAAATATCACAATGGACTAGTGGAAAACAGTTTTATTTTCGATTATTCACTCTTCAATGGCTGTTAGACTAAATTCTTGTTCGTCATGTCAATTTCTTAGGTGTTTGGTGTTTGTTTTGATTTGTTTCAGATGTTTGCTATTTTTTAAACTGACCGTTTTGTAACCAGTAAGTATTCTTTAAAAAAATAATAGATATGAGCCTCTAGATATACCAGTTCATTTGTTTTTCAGTTGTAATTATTTATCCGACTTCGCCTGGAGTCCCTCAAGGGGCTACTGCCGGTTCCAAGCCCGGATTAAGGGAGAGGGTTGAGCATAGGGTTAGCGACCCCATCCCGTAGAAAAACAACTCGTTAAAGAAACGCTAACCAGAAAAAATTATTCATCCGACTGAGGTCAATTTAATTACTTGTTATCTGTATTACACGTTATATGACATTTTCTGTGTAACTTTGACTAAGCTACTATGTGAGGATAGTACTTTTTTTTTGAAGCCAGTTGTCTGGTTCATGAAGCATCTTTTTCAGCCAAATACTCTCAAGTTCGGACTCCAGTTTACCTAATTCACTTTGGGAGAGTAAATAGTCTCACTATCCCTTATGCATAGTGTAGCTCAATGTTAAGTATATAAACACACAATTGACGGATAAATTATGCACTGTGACTGTCAAACGTTTTTATCTGTTACATTACATCAGATAATAAAATTCCTTTTTATTGTCTATCTGAGTTCACAGGATTGTTTGTTCTATAGATGATTTTCTCTAGCCTTTTCTATAAAGAGCAATACATAATAGTGGAGAAGATTTGTAGCTCAGGTGGATGATTTTGATAGAGTTTTGTTCTCTGAGCTGAATGGTTTGGTCGTGGAGCTTTCGTCGTTCTTCTGAACGACATCATCAGCACAGACTTCAGATAAAAACTTCAAGTATAAGAACGAAATTCAAACCAATGGGAGACAACCAAAAGGAAGAAGTAAACAGTGACAAATTTAAGGTCAATAAGAACCAATCATCATTGAGGGGCACAGAACAAGCTGTGAAACACATATGGAGAAATTCGAACACTTCACTTCTATCTGACGTTTATGCTGATGATGTCGTTCAGAAGAACGATGAAAGCTCCACAACCAAACCATCCAGCTCACAGAACAAAACTCCACCAAAAGCAATACGGAATAGAATATGATCTCATATATCGTTGTGTTTATATATATATATATATATATATATATATATATATATATATATATATATATATATATATATATATATATATATATATATATATATATATTAAATTATTGTTATAAAAGCATTCAAGATTTGTTTTACACTAACTAACCTGATGCATTTCATCTTGTTCATTACCTTGTTTAGGATCTAAAATAAGCATTACTCCATATAGTTCATCATTATGAATTTGTTTCCAAATATAAGATTTAAATCCTGTATCTGATGTATTTAATGCAGCTTCAAAATATTTTAATGCCAATTGATGAATTACAATTTTACACATTTCACTTTTTGGTTCCATACCAGCACAAACAATTTGATGATCATAACGTGTTACATAATTTTTTAATTCATCTAATACATCAAATAGATCATTTACAGCAAGTTCTTTTGAATACAAAAATCCAGTTAATAAATCTAAACGAAATAAATATGAATATTTGTTTTAGGTGGGTCAATTTTCATAAACAGACGTTCTCATTAACAGCATCTTTATAATGTTAATTAGTTTTCAAAACAAAACAAAACACACAATTAAACTAGCACCCAAATACTACAGGATGACTAGTGGTATATGAACACTATTTTATCGTAAGATCGAACAGAGACTCTTCTTTGATGAACAAATTGTACTTTTAACATATGTTTAATGTGTTTCACAAAAATATTGATGTAATTCACGCTTTAGAACCGGATAAGTGAAAATAAGTTTCATTCAGTTGTTATGAGGTTGATAATCATAAAGAAGATTAATGATATATAAATCTGTAGGTGGAGCAGTGGTGAGGTTATGGAAATACACGACTATTGAGCTTCAGGTTTGAATACACTTATTCATCTAGTTCAATTTGAACAACCACTCAAGTGAAACTATACGATCCCATACGTGGTTATGGGGTTTCATCATTATAACTATTATTATGCTAGATATACTTTTACTGACAGTTTACTGCCAGTTTTGTTGTTGTTGTGAGAAACTAACCGTACAATAACTTATTATGTTATCGGTACTCTATTATTGCCTGACTTTCCCAAATAGTATTTATTTCAATTCTATTTTAATCCAGTATTAACCCTGCACATTTAATTACATTTTGTCAAATCGACTAATCATTTCATGTTAACATTTCTCATGATGTTGTAATTACTTATTGGTTACATGATTATATAAATAATCACATGAAAATGATAAATGAGGTTAAAGTTGTAGTGACCTGCTTTGTATCAAGAGAACGTGATTGGTTTAATGGAAACAATTATTATTATAACCATTTGTACCAGTGATTGTTTAACTGTACTAATGACATCCATTATTCTTCCATTCTTCCTTCTGTTGATTGTGACCTTGAACGAATTCGGTTACGGTCAGTAACCACACTCGTAACTTGGCACGATCTCGGTATTCTTTCGATATCACGAGATCGCCAACAAATACATCTCGACTACAGCTATCAACTGCCTGCTGATATTTGGTCTACGGAGGATGTTATCGGTTAACTGGCACGTAGTCTTCCTGTAGTGGTGATCATAGCCAATCGCGATAAGACGCCACACTACAAAGTAAAACGAGGTTCTAGGGGATTTAGACAAGGTATTTTTCAGATTCCATCTGAACTGCTAGACGGCACTGTTTCGATCATCTAGCATTGTATAAATGTAACTTCATTATCGTAAGGAGATTTATTATTTGGAAAAATTTCATGTTCCTTGTTTGATATCATTTTAAATTTCCAAAATGTTTAGATCATTCGAACGTTTATTAGCAGCTTTTCTTCTGTAAATACAACGTGATACCATAAAAGTCTTTTAAACTTCATAGGATTGCTAAGTGGAGCTTTGCTGAACGATATGTTTTAAAATAGTCTCTACCCGCTCATTTCGAAGGTCTAGATTTAAGTAAATGATAACGATTAAGTTTCATCGACTCAGTAAATGATTTTTAATGGCTTTTATCAAGTGATCATATGAAGTGATTTTTCTAATTCCTTACTCATCTGCTGCCTTTGATATCTATAACTTTTGGCCAGTTATATACTGATATGATGAAGTATAAAAAGGTCGCATTATTTTGGTATTAATTCAGGGTTCTAAATGTGAACTTCGTTTAGTGTTACGTTTTAAGGTCCATAGTTCTTGTATCAATTTAGTATAAACTTCGTTTCATATGACAAGTGTGTACTATTTTTCAGTTCGACGATTATATTTCTCTCAGATCGGTCTTATGGATATTATAGTAATTTCAATGGTTAAGATCATGAGTCCAGTGATTCCAGGTGTTCCATAGTGGTCTAGCTTCAACTGACTCATGATCTTCACTATTGAAATTACTATAATATCCACAAAACCCATCTGATATTAATCAACATATGCTCAGTAGTGACTGGCTTCAAGAGTTCTAGTGAGAAGTAGTGACCAATGGAGTTCAGCCGCGTCTGTTGTGAGATAGTGACTCACTGAAGACGATGGTGGATGTGTCGCTCAATTTCGTGGATTAGTTGAAGTTAGACATTAACACCGTTTGATGCCGGCTGGCTCAGTGGTTTAGTGGTTAAGTGCTCGCACGCGAAACCAGTAGGTCCTGGATTCAAATCTCGCAGGGGGCGAGGTCGTGGATGCGCATTGCTGAGGAGTCCCACAGTGGGATGAAACGGCCGTCCAGTGCTTTCAGGTTTGCCATGGTGGTCTAGTTTCAATTGACTCATATTTCTAGTAAACTGAATTTTCTGTGCGTGTTTTGAAAGTAACTCTATATACTTCCCTCTAATATGTGTCATAAAGTGTGTTTAGAAATCAATATTTAAATCATTGTATTTTGGTATAATATTGAGATGATTTTGTGATGTGTTTTTAGAGAGCCAATAAATCTTCATTGCATCAGTATTTTGTGTTCTTACTTTGGATTATGGGAATTGCACTGGTTTCCGTGGAAGTTGTAGTTGTTTGTGATTGTTAGGTATAAATAGCAAAACTGCCGATTCAACAAAGCCTATACGTTAGTGATAACAGACATTTTCGATGTGTTGTACGAGTGTGTAATAAATAACACTTACTGTTCGGTAGATGTATTACGCTTATTAATTCTAACCGGTGTATTTTAAGTAGAATACTGATCACTAAGTGCATATATATATATATATATAGATTTAATAAATTCGATACGACTGTGTCATTTGTATCAAATCGTATTAATACTACTACTAATAAATGTTATATGGTTAAAGAGGGCCCCCAAATGCCCTGGTACGGCCGAGAGTGGGGAGAGTCCGCTCTCCCTCTCGAAATACTCTCACACGGCCACGCGTATATAGCCTCTGCCAGGGAAGTCCTACTCACTGCCTTCTCGTGGCGGGGGTGTTGTTTACGAAAATGAGAGGACGAAAAGCGAATGTCCGGCGCTTTAACCGGATTCCAAACCAATGGTGCACATGGGCTCCAGTATCCTGCGGGAACAAATGGCGAATGAATCAATTGTTGGTCACCGGCTTCCATGGGACTGCATCTCCTTACGATGCTCCACTGCCTTGTGGATCAGACCTTCAGGTCGAAGGCTCGGGGTGTGGCCCCCTAAGAAAACCACCTGCTTCGGTTTGGGCACCCGGGCAGTATCACAGCCCTCACACACATATCGAATGAGATTTGTGTGGCGCATATGTATTTGGTGCCTCTTTGTACCATTATCTATGTGTTGAAATAAATAATAAATAAGTTTTTGATCCTTATCCGTTTTGTAAAAATCTTACTGTTTACACCTGATTTTGTAATTGTTAGCCTGTTTACTGATCGAGAATTTAAGTACTTAATGTTAAGCTGCATTTTACTGCGAAAGCTATTAAAATCGAACTAGATCCAATAGCGTTGGAAGTGGTGACGTTTGTTTGGTTGAAAATCAAGGAACTAAGCTATTGCTCCTGGTGTAAAATACATTTTAAAATTTATTATAAGTAGTAGAATGATTGAACAAAGAGGGACTATTCAGTGTTACTATTACATTTTTGTTTTGGTTATTACTTACCATTATGATCATTAATCTGATAATTGCCATCCAATTTAGCATGTCCAAAAAGTTTTTTTGTTGTAGAGCTTTCTACATGGACTATATAACTGAGGAATACAATCCAGATTATCATAGGTGGATATATTTTTATGGATCTTCTGTGTTGTACTTTAATCATTCTAAACTATATTAATGAATAAACAGAAAAGAATATCAGCATGAAATTACATTCAAGAATTATCACGAATATATATAGTGAATTAGTAGAACGTTAAACCTCTTTAGATAAGAAAATAGTGAATAATGGTACTATTGTAATTTAAAATTCATTTGTAATCATTGCCACACCTTTCATACTACTCTTATGAATGTCATGGTTAGAATCGTGCTAGCATACCATGCAAATAAAACTCGCTAATTCAACAATCTTCAGATGGATGGAAACGACAACATAGCATGTTTACCTTCTAGTGTTAACAGCATATAGCAACTACATTAATGCAGTTAAATAGATTTATCTATTGTGACGATTCAGTAAAGTTATTCTGTTTGTAACATTTATTGTTTGAGGTCCCATCAAACCGTTCAGTTGGATAGCTTTAAGGTCAAAAGCCGAAAAAATTTAAAGTTTGATAAAGAATTGGTACTATCAAATGTAATAGGAGGTAATGAGATACAATGTTTTCTTCATGGATAGCTGCCATCTATAATAATATCGCCTTTCTTCAACAGTTAGATAGTTAAGAATGACCAGTCATAAATCTAGTACTATTTCATGTTTTCTTCAGATTTCTAGTGTCAGTGATAAGGCTTGTAAAGTATAAAGATTATTTATAAGTTGTTAAGATTTTAAAATTCAGTATTTATAACTTCCGAAGAGTTAGGATATTTCGGCAAAGTAACCTTTCACCATAGTTGTTTATGATGTCATAGAACTCTAATGTTTGATAATATGTATACATTAACAGTAACAGAACATAATCGTTGATCATAATGCACCTGGATCAGATGCGAAAATTGCAATTCCAATTTTATATAATTATGGTTATTAAGGTAACTAAATCTAATAACGTTTCCTGTATCATATCGAGCTAACTCTAATGGATAAATCAGTTGTAGACGTCATTATTCTAGTTATATATTACATTATTCAGACTACTTGGTTGAGGTCCATGTGACTATCGTAACCAATAGTTGCAAACTCTGGGTGACATGGCTCAGAATCTATCACAATGGCGTCGGTGTATACACTCTATCTTTCCTTAAACTAAGAGATTAAAATCGCCTCATATCTTTCTTTATACGAACTAATTCTTTCTTCCTGTACTCTATATCCTCATTGCCATCTTTCTTTTATATATTACTACCATTGAAGTGTTTACTTATATGAATTTAATAATCATCTTGTTGTACTAATGAGGTATAGCAACTTGTACCGATGCATATATGTTCACAGTCACTGTTTGGCTTTATTGTGTACAAATGTTATTTTCTATTTTCTGCTACGTTGCAATCTGTTTAGTTGATATATAAACCCAGTATATCTGAAATAAATGATTCGATTCATATTGCATTCGCATAGTGGAAGCTGATATTCAGTGTTCTGAACTCAAAAGGACGGGCTAGGCGGACATAAGACCAATAAGGACGCTAGACTAACCATACCGATCGAACATCATTGGTTTGGCAAAGTGAGAAGATTGTATAAGTCGTATTTTGATTGGTGGATAACTCACGTGATAAAAGCCGGAGATAAAGTCACAACAAACACTACACATTCAAATATATCAGGTGAAATTGATGAAAAAGAGGTGCTTCCAAAAACATTTATCTTAGATTTACAATCAATGATGATGTTAATTAGAGAAGGGTTTTTATGCATATTACAATAATTTAATAGTTAACTTCATAAGTCAATTGAACTTTATATACTTATTTATTTCAACACATAGATATTGGTACAAAGAGGCACCAAATACATATGCGCCACACAAATCTCATTCGATATGTGTGAGGGCTGTGATACTGCCCGAGTACCCAAACCGAAGCAGGTGGTTTTCTTAGAGGGCCACTCCCCGAGCCTTCGACCTGAAGGTCTGATCCACATGGCAGTGGAGCATCGTGAGGAGATGCAGTCCCATGGAAGCCGGTGACCAACAATTGGTTCATATGCCTTTCGTTCCCGCAGGATACGGGAGCTCATGTGCATCATTGGTTTGGATCCGGTTAAAGCGCCGGACATTCCCTTTTCGTCCTCTCATTTTCGTAAACAACACCTTCGCCACGAAAAGGCAGTGAGTAGGACTTCCCTGGCAGAGGCTATATACGCGTGGCTATGTGAGAGCATTTCGAGAGGGAGAGCGGACTCTCCCCACTCTCGGCCGTACCAAGGCATTTGGGGGCTTAGACCACCTGGAGTCCCATACTAGGACTTAATGGCCGTCTAATGCTTCCATATTTTCCACAGTGGTCTAGATTCAGTTGACTAATGATTTCAACTATTTTAATTAGTATTTCTTAAGTTGAAATTTTCATGCATAATTTAAATAGTGTAAAGTGTAACAAACAAAAAATACCGAATTCATTTATCAAATGGTTAAGTTGTTTATTATTGTCAAATGAGACTAGATATTTCTTATGTCTTAAATTTACTAATTCATGTCATTCTTAAACGGAATAATAATTTCAACTTTTATGTTATGATAGTCAATACAGAAATATGCTTGTTTACTTACACCTGTTATTCCTCGTGGAGGAGCATAGGTCGCTCATTCTTTGTGTATTTACCAGTGGAGCTAAAGCGGGTCTGTTGTGAGGTAGTAACTCACCGATGACAATGGTGGGCAGTGTAGCAAATCGGTGGGTTAGTTGGACGTTAACACCATTGGGTACCGGCCGGCTCAGTGGTCTAGTGGTTAGGTTCTCCCGCGCGAAACCAGTAGGTCCTGGGTTCGAATCTCGCGAGGTTGTGGATACGCACTGCTGAGGAGTCCCAAAATAGAACTAATCGGTTATCCAGTGCTTCCAGGTTTTTCATGGTGGTCTAGCTTCAACTGACTCATGATCTTAACCATTGAAATGACTATAATATCCACAAAACCCATCTAATATCAATTAGAAATTCGTCTAGTTTAAAGTGAACTTAAATTTCCCATTAGTGAATAAAAAGGAGTAATATCACTTTTCTTTTCTCAATTAGTTTTTCATTATAATTCTACATTAATGTTTCTTTTAAAAGAATAATGGTATAATACCAATCAACTGGGCTTATTTCACAAGAATTGGGTAATTAAATTAATGAAACAAACAAAAAGGTTACAATAATCACACCATTTAAAATAACTATTTGTGAATGATTCAAAAAACGTGTAATTAAATGATTGGCATAATGTCTGATAAGTGAATTGGAAAAGGTATTCTTTCTAACAAGTCAATTATTCATAATAGTTATGTAAGAGTATATAGATGAATAATATTTGTAGCTCAAATGGATGACTTTTGATGGAGTTTTGTTCTCTGAGCTGGATGATTTGGTCGTGGAGCTTTCATCTTTCTTATGAACGACGTAATCAGTACAAACTTCAAATAGAAGTAAAGTGTTCAAATTTCTCCACGTATGGCTCACAGCTTGTCATATAGTCCTCGATGTTTATTGGTTCTTGTTGACTTTGAACCTGTTATTGTTTACTCCTTTGCTTTAGTTGGAAGAAAACAACGATTAATTTAAGGTTAACAAGAACGAATCAGTATTGAGGTGTACAGAACAAGCTGTGAGACACATATGGAGAAATTCGAACACTTCACTTCTACCTGAAGTTTGTGCTGATGATGTCGTTCAGAAGAACGATGAAAGCTCCACGACCAAATCATCCATCTCAGAGAACAAAACTCCACCAGAATAATATTAAAAATAAGAATCTAAAAACTAATTTTAATAGTCGAATCTATGAGTCATTTGGAGCTGGAAAACCTGGGAGCACTGGAAGGTTGTCTCTTCCTATTGTGGGGCTTCGCAGAAGTGCGCATCCACAATCCCACCCCGCGAGATTCGAACCCAGGACCTATCAATCACGTGCACGAGCGCTTAACCTCTAGACCGGTATCCGATGGTGTCAATGTCTAACGAAATTGAGCGACACATCCACCATTGTCTTCAGTGATTTACTATCTCACAACAGACGCGATTGAACTCCACTGGTCACTACTTCTCACTAGAAATCCAGGAAATACATCTTGGAAACCGTTACTAGTGGGCATATGATGAGTATAATCAGAGAGGAGTTTTCTGGATATTATAGTAATTTTAGTGGTTGAATCCAAGGGAATAACAATTTTTGTTCAGTGACCCTTGATTGAATCGTTCGATTACTCCTTCCTTTGTATGTTTGTCCATACAAACATGTAAATTGGTAAATATCATGGGATGTGACGTAATCATTTGTGCATTGTCTAGGTCTATTTGGAATCATAGGCTTAAACATTTCAGTCACAACCAAATTAACAGCATAAAAGGTTCTTTCGATGGCTGCTTTCAATCATTATCTTAAAACTATACTATTTAATTCACCTCTATATGGTAGATAGATATAAACTTTTTTCTTTGAAACCGAATAAACGAGAGGTCTTGGCGTTAACTGACTTTTGCACCTATTAATAAACTTTACTGGATAACCATTTGAGATTAATGTGTCAGTCAGCAACTTTTTGTCTTTTTCAACCCTATCAGTAGTGCAAATTCTTTGAGGCCTCTTAAAGAGATATTTAATCAAGCCTCGCTTTTATTGCAATGGACAGAAACTATAAAAATTTAAGTGCTGCCCCATCCAAGTTGGTTTCCTATAAACTGACCATCTTATAGTACCATCCTCCCTTTGACTCAAAAGTATGTCTAAAAAGGGCAATTGGCCGTTATTTTTTGCTTCATAAGTTATTACGATATTGTTTTGAACCTAATTGAGTTTATCTAAGAACTGGGAAACCTCAAAATCTTTATCACAAATAACTAGTATATCCTCCATGTATCTTCTATACAAAGTTGGTTCACTAATGAGTTTACTCGTCATATTTTCAACATATAACATAAATACATCAGTTAAGAGAGGCCCCAAAGGGCTATCCATAGAAACACCATCAACTTGTCCAAAATATTCGCCTTCAAACATGAACTGAACATGTGCGGTACAT